AAAGGAGGAAAGACTGTGCTAGACAAAGGGCGAGTGTTGTCTAATACACCGGCACACACTGCTTAACTTTGGGAATATATTTAAGGGATCTCTTGTTCGGTAGTTTAGTCATTGGGTTGGACATCTCCGTTTACAATCACGTGAACTTAGATGGTGTTGAAGATGTGCTCTGGCAAGTACATTTCCCTGATACCAGCTGATCGAGAGTTTTCAAAACTTCATCTGCTTTCACATGTAGGTTCACAGACTTCCAATTCACTGAAGAAAATTCTTTAATCATTTAAGCCACCAAAGCTAGCAGTAAATTCAAAACTGCAGTTGGGTCTTGCCTTTGATTTTGACACAGAGAACAACTTTTTACTTTGGCCCTGATTGTCGTGGTACTGAGAGAATTACACTTCTTGGTCTGGCCTTCAATGCAGGACTTTGGAAGTTTCCCCATATCTGGTACAGATCCTTCTCAGATCTGCGTGAATCGAGTTGGCCTTTAGTGATAATGCCCCTCCAAGCCCATCCGCCAGTGTGCTTTCCTTGAAGACAGTCCCTGTGGTGGCGCAGGTCATGCCAGACCAGAGAGCAGTGACTGTCACCGATCTCCACCTTGGCAGTCCTCCATCACTTTTAATTTGGTTTCAGCATCAATAACTTGATGTGGCTTCTTACTGGCACAACAGCAATGGATTTCACGTGGTTACGGGCCAGGAGGAGCTAAACAAAAGCATGAGATGAAAATAAGCACAAAACAAAGAAAAAGCAAGCACGATATGCAATAAACCCAAGCTATATTGGGCTACTGTCAGGTGCCGTCATAAGCGAGGTCTGTGGTTGACCAAAGCATTGCAATGCGACACATGACTGTAATAAATGCCTGAGAGGAATTAAAGGAGAGAAGCCACCACTGAATACAAATAGGAATGAAATCACATTTGCTGTCAGAGAGAAAGAAGGCTATATCATCAGCATTTAGTGTTAAAGAAGAGGTGTGGCTATCGGTCCCCTGCCAGCAGGGGAAATGGAGAGAAAATTGGCCCAAGCCTCCTTTAACCTTCTGGAAAAGTATGACGGCAAACAAAGACCAATGGCCTTCTCCAGGGGTTATATTCTAACAGCCTTCACTTCTGCTGCACCTGCCACTGAGGCAAGCACGTATAACTTCCCTTTACACACACACACACACACACACACACACACGCACACGCACACGCACACGCACATGCACACGCACACATGCATGCAGCATAGAATAGCCAGAGGTCACAGAGTGGAGAGGGCTGCCACCTCAGTGGTCCGTGGCCAGCATTGCAGAATCTGCACTTAAGGTTCAGTGGCATGTCCCACCTGTGGACAGGATGCCTCACTGCAGTTAGCAGCAGCCTTTCCCTGGCTCCCCTCCTCTCCCTCCACCACTGCTCCGTTTTTTCTCACCTCAATCTCTGGAGAATCTCACATTCTCACATGGGGCAGCTTCCCCCTAACTTCTTTTCATAGTTGGGCTCCTGCTTGCAGAGCCCTTCTTTGCATTCTTCAGGTTTTCTTAAGCATAAAGTAACAGCCAACTTGATAACAACTTCACCTTGCACACTAGCTTTCCTGCTGCCAGGCACAACACCTGATGCTCACAACTTAAGGAAGAAAAAGTTTCATTCCATTCACGGTTGGGGAAGATTTGGTCCACAGCCAGCCAGCTCCACGGCAGGAGCATCATGGTGGACGGGCATGGCGACTCGAAGCTGCTTTATTCATGGCCATCAGGAGCAGAGCAGGGGAGCAGCGCAGTGATGTGCAGGAGAGGGGCCAAATACAGCACACCCAGGGCTCGAGCTGCACACTGCCAGGCCAGCCTGGACCATGCTCCACTAATGTGCTAAGTGTCTCCTAACGCAAGAAGGCACACACATCAGTATTAATGGTTGTACCCTACAGGAATAGAAAGGCACTGTCCCCAATCTACCCTCTATGGAAAGAGAGAAACAGGAGGCACAAAGAAAGCAGACAGCCAAAAACAAAGTGGAAGTGGAATATAGAAGACATCAAAGACACAAGTTTTAGCCACAACTTGCTAAAGGATTGGAGATCAACATCAGAGCCTGACTGTATATCTGATTTCCACTTACATGTACAAACCCATATTTAAAATAATGATCATAAACTGATTCTAATTTTATTTTACAGAGAACAAGAAATTTTGAAAGGATGTTTTATTATATAAAGAACAAGAAATGCTGAAAGGATTTTTTGCTGTATTTATAGAGCTTCTGATGAAATTTTTAAGTTAATCAGCTTTCTGTCACTGCAGCAAAATAATTGAGAAAAACAACTTAAAGAAGGAAAATTTCTTTGGCCGCAGAAGTTTCAGTCCCTGGTCACTTGAGCCCACAGCTTTGCAGCCTATGTTAAGACCACATGTGGCACCTCGTGGCAGCTGGGCAGCTAAAAAAAGAGCAAAGGGACCAGGGCCCAAGGTCCCCTCGTATCTTACATCCTAGTGGCCCAACCTCTTCCCAGGAGGCCCCACTTTCCAGGGGCACCAAAGGCTGGGCCTTCTGGAAACAGTTAAGGTCCAAATCCTAACAGGACTGAAGACTTCACTGAGGATAAATTTCTGAAGCAGATGGGCCTTCACAAGTGATTTTGGTCAAATCCGGGTTCTCAGGGCACAGAAAAACTAAGGAAAGATACTTAGAAAAAGCTGCTCCATCTTTTTCCCATATGGGTATGCTATGCTTCATGTAAAACATCACTTATCATGCAAAAACTAACATTTTATTAAGAAGTCTTTTTTAGCCAAGGAGATAGCTCAGTGGCGTAAAGACCTTCCCAGCAAGCACATTGTCCCAAATTCAATTCCTGGCTCCACAAAAAAATAAAATAAAAATAATCTTAAGATGTCTTTTTTAAAAATCACCATGGTGGAATATTATTCAACTCTTACAAAGAATGAAATTCTCTCATTTGCAGCGATGTGCATGCACTGGAGAACACCAAGTTACACGGAGCAAGTCAGGTGTGGAAAACCAAATTCACATCCTTGTCTACGTGCAGAGGCTGCAACGTGGATCTTACAGAAGCGAGAGTGGAGCCGTGGGCACCTTGGAAGTAGGGGAGAAGGAAGGGAGGGCGTGGTTGATAGGCACAGAGACCCAGTTCCATGTGAGGAGTGACTCATGACATTCTATAGGGCCGTGCAGTAATTAGGGGAGGTATCATTTCACTGTAAATTTCAAAAACAGCAAGTAGAAGAGGACTTTTAAGTTCTCCAGCACAAAATGCTGTTGGGGGTGATGGCTATACCAGTAATCCCTATGGATTCTAACACATCATATACATGAATTGAAATGCCACACTGCACTGCATGACATTTACAAATATATTGATGAAAAACTAAATCCTGTCACCTAAGGCGGAGGCCCTTGAACCGTGACCTCCCCCAGCCATGGCATCACTTCATCGCCTGGGACCATTGTAGAAATAGAGCTCCCAGGTCTGCCCAGACTTACTGGGCTAGAAACTCTCGGGTGGGGAAAGCCAACCACATAGTCTGTGTGTTCACAAATCCCTGGTGGCCACTAACGCAGTCATCTCCCCAGATCACCCTGAGAGAATCACTGCTGAAGTTACCGCTGAACTTACTCATAGACTGCTACCTGTAAGAAGAATCAGTCCCAACTTGTTCCTTTGCCCAAATTGCTAGTCCCTGACATTGCCCAAGAAATCCAGATTATCTACCAAGTAACCCAATGTATTTGTTTCCCTTCATTGGTAATTAAATTCCATCTATTTGTAAAACAAGTCTTTAAGTTGACTTTAATTCCTGTTTAGCCATTAACAGAAAGTGTCCGCTGACCTCGTGAGCTAGGAGAGAGGCGGCCCCACCAGCAGAAGTGCATGTTGTCTGCTGCAGCTGGACCAGCTGGCCTGGCCTTGCTCTTTCATTCTCTTAAATGAAGGCAGCGTGGGGATGGAGTGAGGTCC